CGGCTTCAGCCCCTCACCCCTCACCAAGCACACTGTCTTCTCTACGGCTTCAGCCCCTCACCCGACTCTTCCTTCTTGGACTCCTGATTTACCCAGTCCTAGGGTATGGCTTCAGACCCTCACCCCTCACCAAGCACACTGTCTTCTTTATAGCTTCAGACCCTCACCCGACTCTTCCTTCTTGGACTCCTGATTTACCCAGTCCTAGGGTAGGGGCAGGGGACTCCTTCTCTGCTCCGGTCTCTTCCATAGGTCCATCCTCTCAGGCGTGCAGACTCGGTTCTCTCTCTGGTTGGCTCCCCCCCCCTTGCAACAATCACTCCTACAAGCATTTTTAAATTCTGTATGTATTCCCGAGACTCGCTGGTATTAGTACCACTGAGGACAAGAACCTCCTCTGTTCACTGCTGCACCCCAAGAACAGTGTCTGGACCAGGGTAAGCACTCAACAAACACTGAATGAGTAGGCAAATTCTCCATCCACCCATCCTCCATCCATCAACCCATCCATCCACCCATCCACCTATCCATCTACCCACCCATCTATCCACTAACACATCCATCCATCCATCCATCCATCTATTTATCCATCCACCTATCCATCCACCCATCCACCTATCTGCCCATCTATCCACCTATCCACTCACCTATCCACCCATCTATCCACCTGTCCACCCATTCACCCATCCATTCATTCATCCATCTGTCCATCCACCTGCCCATTCACCTATCCATCCATCCATCCATCCATACATACATACATACATACATACATACATCCATGTATTCATCCACTATCCATCCACCCATCCATCTATCCACCTATCCACCCATCTACCCATCTATCCATCCATCCATCCATCCACCCACCCACCATCCATCCATCTACCCACCATCCATCCATCCATCCATCCATCTGCAACACTGAGTCTAGTGTATTCCCCAAAGGCCCATGTGTTACAGGACTGTTTCCCAGCACGGCACTCTTAGGAGAGAGTAGAAGCTTTAGGAGGTAGAGCCTGGTGGGAGGACTTGAGGTCATCGTTGGGGGTGTGTACCATTGAATAGCATCATGGATCTTGATCTCTTTCTCTCTGCTCCCTGGCTCTCCAGGAGATGATTGGCTTTGTTCTATGACATGCCTGTCACAATGTGCTGCCTCACCACATGCCCCCAAACAACAGGGGCAATTGATCACTGACTGGAACCTCAAATCTGTGAACCAAACAAGCTTTTCTCTGTAAGTTGATTATCTCAGGCTGTTGCAGTGACAGCTGACTGACACACGGAGTCCCCAGTCTTCTCCTTTCTTCCGCTCCCTGTTCCCCGGCCACCTGGCTGCCGTGGCCCTCCCGAGCCTCACTGACTTTTCCTCAAGAACCTCATCAAGCCGTCCTTGGCTCACACAATGTTCTGAATGTTGTGTCATTTAGCCCTTGTTATTGTCCATGACGAAGATATTTTAAGATCCTTTTTACCCACAGAAAAACAGACTCAGAGAGGTAAAGCAACTCACACAGGTTACGAGTGGCTGAGGCAGTGACTCCAACCTAACTTTTTTCATTTCCAGGGAGTGTTCAAGCACAATACGCAATTAACAGAAATACCAACTAACTTATAATGTGTGCCAGATTCCAGACAAGGCTTTGGCACACACGCCCTTCCAGCTAATCCTCCCAACAACCCATCAGGAAGGCACTGCAGCACTGTGGATAAATGGGGCCCAGACAGGGCGGGGATTGGGGTTCACATAGGCACACTAAGTGGTGGGGGTGAAGCTCATCCAGCACTCTCTGAGATTCATGGAAGCCGTGATGGTGGAAGGTCCTGAGCAGCTGTGGTCATTGACATCAGAGTGGTCTATGACTCCGGGGTGCCAGTAATCTGTGGTATAATAGAAGGTGTAATGCTTGTGGAGGGGACTGTTATAATTTTTACATTTTTACTGGTGATTATTAGTGGAAGTGGTGGCTAAGGCAGCAGGACACATTCCTCCTGCCTGAGGAGGGGTCCCAGGGGTAAAAGGGCACTTGCCTAGAACTTGGAAGTCCGGGGCTCCCCTTTGCCACACAACCTTCCTTGCCATGCCAGTTTAGGTAAGGACTTCACCCCTGTACACACACACACACACACACACACACACACACAACTAAAATTCATGTATGTGAATGCTGGTGCCCTTGAAGGCCAGAGGAGGGGATGTTGGATCCCCTGGAGTTAAAGGTGAAGTTACAGGTGGCTGTGAGTCTTTCAAAATGGGTGCCGGTCACCACACTCAGGTCCTCTGTAGGAGCAGCAAGTGTTCTTAAATATTGAACCATCTCTCCAGCCCCTTCTCTTTTTTTTTTTTTTTTCCTTTTTTTAAGACAAGGTCTCACTATGTATTCCAAGCTGGCCTAGAATTTGTCTAAAATAAATTTCCTTATGATTTGTTGACAGTAAATGTTTGATTAGTGTATCTATTTCATATATCTATATATCCAAGCTTGCCTAAAAATTTATTAGGCAAAAAGAGCTCACAAGGGGCCAGCAAAATGGCTCAGCTGGTAAGGGCACTTGCTGCCAAAGTTAACAACCTGGGTTCAATCCCCAGGACCCACATAGTGGAAGGAGAGAACTGATTCCTGCAAGTTGTACTCTGGTCTCCACAAATGTTCCATGTCACTCATATACACGACAAATAAATGTATAAAAAAGTGGGGGGGTCACCGGGCATGGTGGCACACGCCTTTAATCCCAGCACTTGGGAGGCAGAGGCAGGCGGATCTCTGCGAGTTCAAGGCCAGCCTGGTCTACATAGTGAGTTCCAGGGCACCTGGGGCTACAAGGAGACCGTATCTCAAAAAGACAAAAAAAATGGGGGGTCACAAGTGGAAAAAGTTTAAGAAGCCATGATTTTAACCACCTGGCTGGTCATAGTTGTCACAGCACCTCTGGAAAGCTGATACAGACTCTTCAGAGATGTCTCATTGGCTGTGACCTCTCCAGTGGTCACTTAAGTTATTTCCAGCCATCTGCAACTAAGTGCAAGCAACTTTAAGACACTTTCCTGGGGGCAGGTAATGCTGTCACTCACTTGACTCTTGATTATAGAGCACTGACCATGTCCAGGCACTGTGGCCAGGACATACTGTCCCCTTCCTCTTGAAACTGACCGACTAACTGAGGGTGTTTATACAGAGAATACCGGGAAGCAGAGGGCAGGGTGTGGAGCAGTCACAGAACTGGAGGAAACCTGGGGTCCCCAGAGAGTCCAAGGGGGAGACTGGCCAGATTCCTCAGCGCCAGCGGAACCTCTCAGGGATTGGGGGATTTATCCTTATCTGAAGAAGCAGAGGAATTCCAAGTTTTAGGCAGGAGGGCAGCGGGGCTCTCACCACGGCAGGAACTGGAGCTTGGTGCTGCATCTGTGCCGTCTGAGTTTTCTTCAGGGACGTCTGCTCAGGTGCCACTGGGACTTGGGCTGCAGGACGCCATTTCAGGGAGGTCAGCAGGAAGAAAGTTGGGGTTTATTAAGCAAAGGAAAGTTCACAGAGGCAGAATTGCATGTGGGTATGAGGGCCTTAGACATTGACGATTTTGTAGCTTTGAAATTACACTGTTCAAAGGACGTAATCTATAGCTAAGCTCAAAATTAAGTAAGAGTGTCCTGGTATACTCATCTTTATCCGAAGTATCTTTCATGAATGAGATTACAAGGTGCTTTATGAGGTGAGGGTTTACAGTTGCAAAAAGGGTGCTGATAACATTAAAACTGCTCAAAAAAAAAAAAAGGTCAGGTTTCTGGACAAAGTAGTGCACACCTTTAATCTTAGCACTCAGGAGGCAGAGGCAGGCAGATCTCTGTGAGACTGAGGCCAGCCTGGTCTACATAGCAAGTTCCAGGCCAGCTGGAGCTCCAGGAAGACCCCGTCGCAAAACCAAAAAATAATAAAATAAGATTGGAGGAATTTTCTCGGAGGAAGAAGCGTCCTTTGCAGGTGTCTGTGCATAGGTTTGGTTACCTGTGTGGGAATTCTTGGTTCCCGGCTGGTGGAAGACTTAAACCAGACTGGGGTGGGGGTGGCAGCTCTTTCCTTTCTCGTTCTCTTTCTTTCTTCCTCCATCCCTTGTTGGGAGCTGTTAATATAAGCGCAGCCGTTATGTACACTGAGCTGTGGCAGGCTTGCTTGTTACTTAGAGTTTGTTTGTGTTTTGCACACCAGTACCTAATCTGCCAAGTCAGGAGGAATTGTTTATAATTTAGGGAAGATGGTTAAATGGTGGAGTTCACAACAAGTATTTGACAGCTCCTTGACCCTCAGATACAGGTGGGAAAAACAGCTGTTGAAGCTAATTCCGCTAAGCAAACGGTGGCTATCTCTGATGTGCTACTGTATAAAAAGGCTGAGCTAAAATAAACCGGGGCTGCAGTCTCTACTGACAGTCCTCCCAAGGATCTTTCTCTGTCTCTTGTTTTTCTTTCATCCTCACTCCCCCTTTCAGGTACTGTCTGTCTTGGCTAGCTGGCACCGGCAATCCCCTTCTTTTCCTTTTTTTCTTTTTTATGTTTTTGAGGCAAATCTCTCCATATCCCCAGGTGGCCTGGAACTCACCATGTAGACCTGGCTGGCACCGATCTCTCAGAGATCCATCTGCCTCTGCCCCTCTAGTGCTGGGATTAAAGGTGAGTGCAGCCACTACACCTGGCCCTTTCTTTTCTTTTTAAAAAAAGATTAATTGGGACTGGAGAGAGAGCTCAGCACTTAAGAGCGCTGACTGCTCTTGCAGAGGACCCGGGTTTGATTCCCAGCACCCACACGGTGGCTAACAACCATCTGTAACTCCAGTTCCAGGGGATCTTGACCCCCTCTTCTGACCTCCATGGGCATTGCATGACATGGGTGCACTTGCATACGTGCAAGCAATACACTCACACACCTAAAATAAAAATAATTTTTAAAAATTAGTTTTAAACAATTGTGTGTGTGTGTGTGTGTGTTTGCACATGCATGAATCCAGTGCCTATGAAAGCCAGAGGCATCAGATTCCTTGAAGCTGGGGTTACAAGTGGTTGTGAGCTGCCCAAAGTGGGTGCTGGGACTTGAACTCAAGTCTTCTACAATAGCAGTATGTACTCTTAAGCACTGAGCCGTCTCTCCAGCCCGTTTTTTGTTTTTGTGACATGGTCTCATGCAGCCCAGGCTGGCCTGGAACTGACCATGCAGCCTTGAGCTCCTGGTCCTCCTGCCTTTACCTCTCCAGTGCTGAGATCACAGGCACCCCCCGCGCTCCAGCTCTAGTTTCCCATGGAGCCCACTTCAGGGTTGCATTTATCCTTTTTATTTATTTGTTTTGTTTCTAGTTTTTTAATTATTTTCATTTTATGTGTATGAGTGTTTTGTCTGCATGTATGTAAGTGCACTTGTGTTGTGCAATGCCCACAGAGGCCAGCAGAGGGTGTCTGGTCCCCTGGAACTGGAATTATGGACAGTTGTTAGCCACCATGTGGGTGCTGGGAACTGAACCCGGGTCCTCTGCAAAAGCAGCCAGTGCTCTAACCATTGAACTGTCTCTCCAGCCTCTTCCCCCCTTTTTTTGTTTTTTTTGAGACAGGGTCTCCCTGTAGTTCCAGCTGGCCTGGGACTCACTATGTTGACCAGA